CTCATGCGCATGTACATAATGTGGCCTGGCCTGTGTGACACATGATGCGAGGTCGGCATTTGTTGTGCGCAATCTAGCTGCACATGTACAGATTGTGACAGAAGCTCCTATCACATACTAGTTGCTAACTATGGATGCTATTTTGCATTGTGTATTGGTGGATTTTAGTGTGAACAAAGGTCTAATAAACTTTTTTTATTCTTCGGTCATTTTTTATTTTTTTCCACCTCTCGCATACGTTTTTAGATGTTCAGGTGACGAGAAACATAGAAATAAAAACGTGCGGCCTAATAATAATAATAATAATAGCACATTTCGCATAGTAGAGCACTAAATAAAGAAATTCAGTGTTTTTTCCGCTTCTGTCTTGTGAGCATCATCAGCAAGGTGTAGTAACTGCTGATACTGATTTCTCCAAGGGTGTCGAGCTGCACAGTTTCTTCCAGTCTGTCTTGTCCGCTGCTTGTTGTCGGCACCTGGAAAGGTCTTCCATGGTCTTCATTGGCACACCCAGCTTATTCAGCTGAGCGACCAGACTTGGGCCAGAGTCAACCTTGGCCGTCCACGAGGTTACAAGTACTTACAAATAATTTGAAATAAATGACGCATCCTGCCGACGTCAGACCAAGATCTTCACACATTATCAGTAAAACCAAGCATGAGTGCACACAAACACTGCTAGTGTCACGAATACGAAAGCAGGGTAAGACAAGAGGATACGAAACAAATAAGTATCGCTATAACGAGGGTGGCAAGTATACATGTAAACAGAGCAGTGCTTACTTACAGGATACTTATCTGCTCCACGGCGTCCTGGTAGTCTGACCGCAGAAGCAGGCCGACCTGCCGGCCCTTCCAATATTGGGCCAGATGTACCACATCCATTAAATGGGTGGTAAGGGCTCGAATCCCCACCAGCCTTTCTTCACTGTAAACACGAAAGAAACCGCAGAAAGCACAGTGTCATAGGGCTCTGTTGTTGGGGGAGAGAGCTGTGAGCACTGCACACTTACCAGGTATCGCAATATATATAAACAAAGAGGCGACGCTTGATGCACCGCCTCAAGTGCTGAAAGAGGGGTATCACCACTGACAATCTCAGCCCACAATGACACGTGAATGCCATCTCCTCAAGTGCTGGAACAGGGGTATTCCCCCTGTCAGCTTAGTTCAAGTGCTGGAACAGGGGTATTCCCCTGTCAGCTTAGTTCCGCCGTGGCATGTGAAAGTCATTTTCACCTAATGATACGGAAGTGAAGGTGTGAACCGCAAAGCAAGACCTTCATCTTCTTTCTGTTGAATTCAGTTTGTGCGAGCACAGCGGCACACTTCCGGCCGTGTCATGCCCCAAACGATGATAGCATCCGACGGTACGGTTGCCACGTCCCCCAAGAGCATAGCTGATGTTCTGAATACTCAGTTCACCTCATTTGGGCTACCTGATGATCCTTCGTGGCGCATTCCCCCTTTGTCCCAGTCGCCTTTCATATCTGTTCCGTTCCGTACAATCACTGTCACTACGTTTCAAGTTCGGAAATTAGTGGTGAAACGAATGTCAAAACCTACTAGCCGAATATTCTTTGGCTTAACGAACGAACGTACGAATATTCTTTTGGTAACACGGATGACATCACACGCCCTCCTCTCAGTCATTTGATGGATATTGTCATTACTATTAGGTATGACAAACGGTAGTGCCACATAAAAATGCACTGCCACATAAGGCTACTTCGAAGTTCATACATGTCACGTGCAACATTGGCAGTCCAGTATGCACATGCATGAGAAAACATGCTGTACAAAGTCACAGGCAGGCTGGACACACTGTCTGTACTGTGTTTGGCGTGCACGTATGTACATGCACTGCATTCGAAGTGACGTCACGAATACTCGAATGCGACTTAAAGAATATTCGAATGTGACCAACCGAACGAATGTTCGAATGTTCGAATATTCGTTTCACCACTATCGGAAATATCTGAAGCGCCTGAAATGTGGAAAGTCTCCCGGCTCAGATGGGATCCCGAATGAAGTGCTGCAGTCTCTTGCACCATCAATAGCCTATCCTCTCGCCATTATTTTTAATATGTCATTTCGAACTGGTACATTCCCACAGGATTGGAAATCCGCCATCGTGACACCGCTTTACAAGAATAAAGGCTCCCGTGCTTGCCCGGCAAACTACCGCCCCATCTCTCTGCTGCGCACAGTTTCCAAACTTTGTGAGCGTATTGTATTCGATTCCCTCTACCTGCACATCGCTCCGGCTCTCTCACCAGCTCAGTCGGGATTCTGCCGTGGTGACTCAACTCAATACCAGGTGACTCGACTTGTCCAAGACATAGCGACAAAGAGGAACTGTGGGGAGCATGTGGGAATGGTGTTTTTCGACTTGGCTAAGGCATTCGACACCGTTTGGCATCGTGGCTTACTTGCCAAGTTGGAGGTCACCTTCCGGGTGGAGGATGCTGCCTTGCGTTGGATATCCTCGTATCTGTCTGCTCGTTCTCAGGCTGTTCGCTTGTCTTATTTCTTGTCTGATCCCCTCCCTGTAACGTCTGGAGTGCCCCAAGGTTCCATTCTGGGTCCTTTGTTATTCTTGCTTTACGTTAATGACCTACCTTCAGTTGTCCCCGATGTTAGTTTGTATGCGGATGACACTGGCCTTATCTGTTCTGATTCCTCCCCTGCACAATTACTCCTTACCATGCAGCATCGCATCAACAGCACTGTCATGTGGATGCAAACGTGGAAACTCCAGCCCAATTTAGACAAGACAGAAGCCATGTATATTTCTTCATCCCCTCCTGATCAACCATTATACTTCCCTGACTCGACTATGCCTATCCGTGTTGTTACTCAGCACAAACATCTCGGTGTGATGTTTGACTGCAAACTCTCTTGGGCTGCACATGTCAACTGTGTATGCAAGCGAACCAGTTCAGCATTAGGGGTACTACAACCACATTGCACTCATTTGCCCATCCAGTGTAAACTATTATTTTATCAGTGCTATATTCTCCCTATATTCGACTATTGCGATACCGCTTGGTGTGGCCTTTCTGACACAACTCTGAACCAATTAGAAGTCCACCATAGATTTATACTTAAAATTCTTTACAACAAGGATCGATGTTTTCCTTCGGATGCCCTTTATCGACTTGCACACACTTCTCCTCTCTCCGTTCGTCATAAGCACCATCTCTGTACACTGGTTCATAAAATATTTCTTCATAAAACCCCTTCACACATGATGAAGTACAATTGGTTTTCGACAAGCTCAACCCGTAACGCGCTCATCCTGCCTCTTGTTAAGTCAGCCCAGTATCTAAAGTCCCCTTTGTTTTCCGGCTACTCTCATTGGTTATCATTACCATACGGTCTGAAAACTTGTTCTTCTATTGGTCAGTTTAAAGATCTACTATCACAACTGAACTAGACGCAATAATTATCATCGAAGAACATTCTCGAATACCTGGGTGATGCACGAATTTTGATAGTGCTCACTTCCGTTAATCGTTTTTCTTTGTAATTTTCCATTCATGTTCTGCTCTAATTCATATTTGCTTTGTTTTCCTAGCTTACTATTGCCGTGGCTGGCTCAACGCCCTTGTCTCAGGGGATTCTGTCCCTGCATTAGCTATGCTTGTCACATGCTATGAGATTGTGTCTAATAATAATAATAATAATAATTCGCTTCCCAGCTGCATACCGGCATCAACCGCTAAAATCCAATCATACCAAGTAACGCAAATGTCATTAGTTGACCTTTTGGACTTTTCAACTCTTATCAGGGGTATTACCCCTGTCAGCTTAGTTCCACAGTGGCATGTGAAAGTCATTTTCACCTAATGATATGGAAGTGAAGGTGTGAACCGCAAAGCAAGATCTTCATCTTCTTTCTGTTGAATTCGCTTCCCAGCTGCATACCGGCATCAACCGCTAAAATCCAATCATACCAAGTAACGCAAAGGTCATCAGTTGACCTTTTGGACTTTTCAACTCTTATCAGGGTATTACCCCTGTCAGCTTAGTTCCACAGTGGCATGTGAAAGTCATTTTCACCTAATGATACAGAAGTGAAGGCGTGAACCGCAAAGCAAGACCTTCATCTTCTTTCTGTTGAATTCGCTTCCCAGCTGCATACCGGAATCAACCGCTAAATCCAATCATACCAAGTAACGCAAAGGTCATCAGTTGACCTTTTGGACTTTTCAACTCTTATCCAAAACCACCAAGAGGAAAAACCAGGATGAAGAAGACGTCAGTTGTCGAAGCGTTTGTCGAGGAGTTGTTACATTATTCTCAGTAAATAGATATGGCGGATACGTTTGGTGTAGACTTGGACGACCGGTCGTGGTCGTTCACCACGGGTCCTTTACGAGTAGAAAGGCGGACGCCAGTAAGAACTGTTGTGGAGTTGGCAGATGAAAACACGCAGCAAGAAATTTGGCACGTCGATTGTAGACTCCATCGGGAGGACGGGCCAGCTCTTGTTGATAGTAGAGGAGTGTCCGCCTGGTGCTGTGGAGGTCGCCTTCATCGCGTCAATGAACCTGCTTGGATAGGACGGGGTAACATCAAGTACTACCTCAACGGCGCCCGTCATAGAGCCGATGGTCCTGCAGCCAGTTATTGTGACGCCATATGCGGTATTCTACGGTGGTATCACCACGGAAGGCTCCACAGGGAGAATGCGCCAGCAGTGATACTCAGGGAAGGTAACAATCGTGTACGGGAGTGGTACCGATACAACCTTCGGCATAGGGAATATGGACCTGCTTTCATCTGCCAGGAGGAGCTTTCCAAGTGGTATAGCGAATTGGATGCACAATTCGTTTCACCCTTTGCATGGGGGGGGGGAGGCTTGGCCAGGCAGGACAGGCAGTGACTGTGGTGGACATTTTAAAATGTCATAGAGGATTGTTGTGCCTATCTGTGTATGTGTTCATGTGTGTTATGTTTGCATCTGCTCTTCTGTGTGGATGTGTGTCCGTTCTGCGTCTGTGTGTGTGTGTGTGCGTGCGTGCATGTGTGTGTGTGTGTGTGTGTGTCTGTGTGCGTGTGCCTGAGTGTGTGTCTGTGTTTCTAGGTCGCAAGTCAGCAGAGTATAATGCTAGCTATAATTCGCAACACCACCATTCAACTGTGTAGAACGAATCTGACCTGCTTCGGTGGTAACACAACGGCTATAGAGAACATGTAAGTCATGCCATGTTGCCACTACATTGTTTGTCAATTGAAGGCATGCTGGTCTAGAATGAGTACACAATGTTTGTCGATTGACGACATGCTGGTCTAGAACGAGTACTCACTCGTCTTCTGCACACGGGGCATAAATCACACTTCTGCCATTCTCCCCAATTGTCATTCTAATCCATTCCACATCAAGCTATCATATTGAAACATGTATCAACTGTGGGCCATGGCCAAATCTCTTGACAACTAGCTATTCCCCTGGCCTTCTCATGTCGCATTGGTGGGCGCTCAGTCACTTGCTGAGCTAAGTGCAGTGACATTTTCACAACACCAAGCAGTTTTGTTTGACCTCAAAGCACCATAATTCGAGTGCTGAATATGTGACGAGACGGCGTGTGTTGGGAATGATATCTGCATTTCGATCAGGAGGTCATTCTCATGCAAGTGGTGTTCTTATTTGTACTCTCAGCGATGTTTGACCTTCTTACCCAATTATATTCTCATGGTCGGTCTGTTTCCGTCTACTGTAGTCACCCACACAAAAGCCCATGTGTTGTACCTCCGCCTGCACGTGTTATCTCTTCGTCGTAGCTGCTGCTGTATTTGTGTCTCTGTGTGTACATGTGGCTGCACGTGTTGTCTCTTTGTCGTATCTGCTGCTGAATTTGTGTCTCTGTGCTGCTGACCCGTACATGCTGCTGCGCTGCTTTGTTGCTGACCCGTACATGCTGCTGCGCTGCTTTGTTGTTGACACGTGCACCTTTTTGTGCTGAGTACACCACCTTTTGTGCTGACGAGGGCACCAATTATTTCTGATATCATGTTTTCCTTTTGCCATGTCAGTCGTCTGTTGTCCGACGGTCGTCGTCAGTCGTCAGACATTCGTTGTCAGTCGTTAGACATTCGTTGTCAGAGTCAGACGTTCGTTGTCAGTCGTTCGTTGTCAGTGTTGGTTCTTCTTTATGAGTTCCCCAGTCGCCTACTGAAATGAAGTAGAAGAAAAGCTCTCTAACAATTTGTACTGGCTCTCTGTTGTGTGGCGTGGCGAGGAGCGTAGAGGCAGTTCGTTCACGGTTCTCAAACCCGTGACGACACATGCGCTTATACGCACGTTTTTAATATTCAAAAATGTTATCAAAAACTCGCGTATAAGAACAATCAACTTGCAGAAATTTCAAGTTTTGTTTTTTTGCAGGTTGATTGATGGTATTATGGTGACATCAGTGTGTCGCGGGATTGCGTTCACTTGCATATACAAGCAGATATAGGCACATGCGTTTTTTATGCGCGTCATTACGGTATTGTCTACATTACTTGTCTCGTCTTGACCTTGTAATGTATAATATATAACTGAACCTATCTATCTGTCTATTGCTTCACTATTCATTGATCATGCTGTAAGCCTACATGGGTAGTGTTTCACCCAGTATGACAGTTTGCCCTTTCATCAATCATCGTGGTCTGCTGCACACGATGCATGGATGTGTTTCCTTTGTTTTGCATTGCTTGCTGTATGCACACGTTCAGTCTTATCATGCTATCGTTAGTTCCGGTATGGTGCTTTGTTGCGAGTCTTGCGTGCTGTGCGTAGAAGTCGTACCACCGCACTCAGTATCGCTCTAGCCCGATAATCCATATGCAGCTGAGTTGGCTGTACTCAGTTGCCTTTTGGGAACTCTTTGCCATGAGTTCATTAGTAGTTCTTATGTTGTCGTTTTGCTCTCAACTTTTGCTCTCTCTGAAATGTTCTTCCCTGAATAACAACTAATTACTTTCGTACTGCCTGTTGATCGAGTTGGCGTGCATGCCTGCATGACTGAAGTTCCATAACATCTGGTACCGAAACCCGCTGATACCTGGTGCGACTGTGTTGTCGTTTGGTGGTGGGCCTTGATTTGGAAATAATGTCGCTGAAACTCGATGGATTTCTGCGGACGTTCCGCGGAAAAGGAGATGACTTGGAGACGTTCTGGTCGAAGTTCCGTGTCCTGGTGGATATTCAAAAGTGGGACACAGAGGAAAAACAGATGCAGCACCTGCCCTTGGTCCTAGATGGCAAGGCGTTCAAAGTCTTCATGCCCATGGCGGACACGGACAGGAAAAAGGAGGCAACCGTGAAAGCGCTACTTGAAAAGGCCTTCGCGCCTGCACCTGCTGATTCTCATCAGTAGTTTCTGTCCTGTCGCCTGCGCCCTGATGAGGCTGCGGACGGCTACGTTGCTGACCTGAAGCACCACTTCAGCTTAGCTGGCCACAAGATTACAGACGAGAAGGTCTGGAGCAGGTGATTTGTGGCTTGCCACCAACGTTCGTGCGAGACATTCGTTTGCAGGGTGCTGGACAGGCCCTCTTCGTCAGTGACGTGACAAAGAAGGTTCGCGCTTTGCAACTGGTTGAAAGTGCTGCATCATCGCATGCCACTGGCGCTGCTGCCACCGAGCCAGCGAAGTCTTTGTATTGTTACACGTGCGGGAAAACTGGGCATGTCAAGAAGACCTGCCGTGCTGGGAACCGGGAACCCTCCACGCAGAGCTCGTCAGCAGGCCCATCTTCCTCGAAGAGCAGCTGAGTTCGTTGCCATCATTGTCATGAGCTAGGCCACATCCGGAGAAACTGCCCGACCAGGAGAACACGGTGCACTGTGTCTGCTGGTGTTTCTAACCAGCCAGGAGGAAAACCGACTGCTGTTCGGCCCTGACTACATCGTCTTCCCTTATCCGAGTGTACGCCGATGCCTGCCGAGAAAAACACGACGAGTGGACTCGCCTGAGTTCTGTGGTGGACACTGGTTGCACGCGCTCTCTCATCAGCCGTGCCGCACTCCAGAAGTGCAATGGCCTGCGTTACATGGAACTGTGTCCGGACAACATGCTCGCACTCAACGGTGAATCGCTGAAGATACTGGGTAGCGTTCTGCTGAACCTCCGTCAACTCGACGGACCTGTGCACTTGGACTTACTGACTGCCGTATCTGTGCTGGTTGTGAAGTTCCATTACAACCTTGCCTTCACACTCACTGCTCTTCCATCTTTGCCTTTGTCAAGCAATCTGAAATAACCCATACAGCGTAATACAAGCTGAATTTTGACCTTATGGAGCATGACTGGTCTTTTCAAACTGGTTATCTATGTGAAACGTGCATGGTTGTATGCGCACACACACGCACACCCGCAGACAAGAGGGAGAGGGAGAGGGAGAGAGAGGGAGAGAGAGAGAGAGAGAGCACCGGAGGAAAGAGGATCATGGAACAGAGCAAACTAATATCCACAAAAACATGTAGACCTTTCTATCTCACAATGTGCATGTGATCTGACGCCCGAGGCACAGTGTACGGCGAAAGGCCATGGCATTCTGCGTTGGAAATAATGTGCACATGTGTATGTCTGTGTGTTGTATATGTATTATCTACTTTCAGACAAGTAACTTTCCATCGAGTAGCAGCTGCTTCTGTTGGTGGCACAACGCTGGTGGTGGTTGTGGAAGCATTCGGCTCTACTTTACCTTCATCGCTTCTTACCAATGTTCTTGGGTCAGCCTTGCTGGCGTCCATGCTGCAAAATGCTGGCCTTGGTCAGGTCAGTGTGGTTCAAACTGGTGCTCAAGAGGAATCATCTTCGTCCAACCTTGGTGCTATACTTGGGGGAGCCATTGGCGGAGTAGGAGTTCTTGGTGTCATGGTCGGAGCAGCAGTCAAATACAAAATGTAAGTGAACCGCTGCTAGTTTTGCTGCTGCTGTTGTCACAGCTTTTTCTGCTGCTGTCACTGCTTCTTATGCTACTGCCACTGCTGCTGCTGTTGCTGTAAAGATTCACCAGTACTGCCAAAGGTGCCAAAGGACCCTCAAACATTCCAATCTTTGCTGAAGAAAGAGCATGGTACGCAGGCCGCTGTCACATGTGCAACTCTGCACTAGCACTATTGTTTACAGTACTTCAAACTTAGATCTATCGTATTTCCCTGATTGTAAGTTGCATCCCCATTTCCAGGCTCAGGTCGTATCGTTTGGATATATTCACTTCAGTAGTAATCATGCTCGATTGTAAGTCGTATCCCCTTTGTTGGCCGTGAAGTTTAGTTTAAAAAAGGTGCGATTTATATTCAGGGAAATACGGTGCATGGACGTGTTTTCAAAGTCTGAAGCCAAACCGCCTGCCTACAGCTGTGCAGCGTCAACACAAATATTTCTAAAACCAAACAAAAAGCAGCGCCACACAAAAACACTTTTGACATAGCTGTTCGTTCGTGCTATAGTTTGTAGCCCTGGCTGCGCACTTCGGCAGCTGTGGCGAATGAAAGCAGCGCCACTCAGGCCTTCCAAGTGCACGTACGGTGTCCAGCAAGACGAAACGAAGAAAAATGAGCTGAGGCACGAGAGATCTACTTTCAGACAAGTAACTTTCCATCGAGTAGCAGCTGCTTCTGTTGGTGGCACAACGCTGGTGGTGGTTGTGGAAGCATTCGGCTCTACTTTACCTTCATCGCTTCTTACCAATGTTCTTGGGTCAGCCTTGCTGGCGTCCATGCTGCAAAATGCTGGCCTTGGTCAGGTCAGTGTGGTTCAAACTGGTGCTCAAGAGGAATCATCTTCGTCCAACCTTGGTGCTATACTTGGGGGAGCCATTGGCGGAGTAGGAGTTCTTGGTGTCATGGTCGGAGCAGCAGTCAAATACAAAATGTAAGTGAACCGCTGCTAGTTTTGCTGCTGCTGTTGTCACAGCTTTTTCTGCTGCTGTCACTGCTTCTTATGCTACTGCCACTGCTGCTGCTGTTGCTGTAAAGATTCACCAGTACTGCCAAAGGTGCCAAAGGACCCTCAAACATTCCAATCTTTGCTGAAGAAAGAGCATGGTACGCAGGCCGCTGTCACATGTGCAACTCTGCACTAGCACTATTGTTTACAGTACTTCAAACTTAGATCTATCGTATTTCCCTGATTGTAAGTTGCATCCCCATTTCCAGGCTCAGGTCGTATCGTTTGGATATATTCACTTCAGTAGTAATCATGCTCGATTGTAAGTCGTATCCCCTTTGTTGGCCGTGAAGTTTAGTTTAAAAAAGGTGCGATTTATATTCAGGGAAATACGGTGCATGGACGTGTTTTCAAAGTCTGAAGCCAAACCGCCTGCCTACAGCTGTGCAGCGTCAACACAAATATTTCTAAAACCAAACAAAAAGCAGCGCCACACAAAAACACTTTTGACATAGCTGTTCGTTCGTGCTATAGTTTGTAGCCCTGGCTGCGCACTTCGGCAGCTGTGGCGAATGAAAGCAGCGCCACTCAGGCCTTCCAAGTGCACGTACGGTGTCCAGCAAGACGAAACGAAGAAAAATGAGCTGAGGCACGAGAGATCTGACGAAGTGTGAGAGAGATGGAGAGGGTGATAGTGCCATAGAAAGCACAAAGCAGCATCCATGATTTAGATCATCTTGGTTGTAAGCCACCCATGGTTGATCTTCATCGTCATCTCGTCACACTCGGCCCCATGTTTGGGGAGTCGGTCCGCAAACCGGAAACAAATCGCTTCCATATGGCCTATTAGTAGTATGTGTCAAGCCGGTTCTACAGTAGGCACATGCCTCGCCCCAAAAATGGGGTATTATTGATTAGACGAGAGAGGGATCTGACTCACAGAGATAATAACGAATAATCTTTACTTCAGGATGAGACACTAGTAAAGCAACTGAACTACACGAGAGGAATAACTGCAAGCTGTAACTGACTGAAACAACGAAAGAACACGACTGTATACGTGTAGTCTCCAGTCCAAACAACAAGACGCCGACTCAACTAATTATGCACAGAAACTACAAGCCGCGAAGTCCGTTTCACGCGCGCGGGAAACGGCACATGAGACATGCATAACAACACAACACGATGCACTACTACTACTACATGCATCATGAATAGCATGAAAGCATAAAAGAACAGCCAGGAATAATTAGTATTAGACTGGTCCACACAGGAACAATAAATGTATCACCTCTACGCGTGCACGCAGCATAACTGACACCAAAGAAGGGCACGTTGATTCGGACATGCATTGGAATTACCATGAAAGTATTGACACCCAAAGCCTAGCGGCAGTGATTTGCCATAACACCATACTTAGACTACTGAAAGAGGTTCACCGTCGTCTACTCATTGATAGTACCCCATTTTTGGGTTAAAACCGGGCGCCCACTTTTTACGTTAAAATGATTTTGAGGGTGGTGGAGGGGGTAAGACCCTCTGATTCTGGAATGCGATGGATTATTTAAAAAAATTAATGAAAACTCATAGAAACAATCTTCGAGAAAACCAAAAGTGTTATTTACGCTATAAACAGTATACATGTAAAGTGCCGCAGACATTACCATACAAGTAAACGTGAGGGAAAAAAAAGGTTAACGTGAGGAAAAAAAAAGGTGTATGCATGTAATTCCAACACTCCACTGATGACCGGACCAGAAAATCGATTCTGGAATTACGTGTATACACCTTTTTTTGTAACTCTAGACACGTTCACTTGCATGGTAATGTCTGCGGCACTGATACTGTTTATAGCGCTATTTCAACTTATTTTGAACTATATTTTCAATTTTTCGGCTCATTTTTTCGTATGCAAGTATATTTACATGCAGAGTTACTTGAAAATGTCAGAACTTGGCAATCGCCAAGTTCCCTTTCTGCTCATGCAGACGACCTTCTGCCACGGTTCCATCATTAGCCTGACAATTGGCTCCAGGTCGTTGAGGGATGTCTTGCGGCGGCAACGCTTTGCCCTCGATTCGTCCTCTTAGTGCCTCTCTTCTGTGGCATTCGTGCCGTCAGCTGCAACGTCGAGACACTGCAATGTAATGCTGACCTTTGTGCTATGGTGGATCCCCCCACGCCCTTCTTCTTCGGTATCTCTCGCGGCCCGCTCGAAATAAATCGCTGAGCCACTCGCCACGTCGGGCGCCACTGTTATGGTGGATCCCCCCCCCCCCCCCCCCCCCCCGCTCTTCTCCGCACGCCACACCACAACTCGTTGACTCATTGGTTTATAGAATACTTCTCAATTACAATATACGAACCGGCGGCGGAGAGAACGGGGGAGAAAGACAAGGAAATAATAAACAACCAACAGTTATAAACAGAGAAAAGGGCGAACACATCGAAACGACCAATGAGCGACCAGTACGGACGATACATGTGACAAGACCCAACACAACAACACCGTGGACGAATCACACCACTCTCGCACCCGAACCTGACTCGCACAGCGCATGCTCCACATAGTCCACGCATGCGCAACAACTAGTCGACAAACGCACTCGCACAGGCGGAAGAAGATCCGCACACTCTGACAACGCATACACCACATATACCACGCCATACGCGCCACACCCATATACTGCACACAACGCACCACACCCGTACAGACAGAAGACCATATTTGACACCGGACAGGACGAGACAGCGAGACCAGAGACAGCAACGGGTGCAAATAATAAGCGTATCGAATTTCGCAACATTTGTGTATTTGGTAGGAATGGCCTTGAGCGTCATCGCCTCTGATTCCACTAGTTTGGTGTCTGAAAGACTGGGGTGCATGCGCTATTGTTGAGCACATTGATGATTCTGATGTAGGCCGGAATGTTCACGTTAGAAAGCGACGAGGAAACTATCCGAGAGGACTTATATAATTATGATCATGGGCAGCAACATGATCTGAAAGAAGAGGTTCCTCACAAATCCAGCAATTAGTGGCCTCTTCGAAATGCCGTCTCTGTGCTGCAGTGATAGTCATAGATAGAGGCCTAGATATATGTCCAGATGATCCATATTATTATTATTATTATTATTATTATTATTATTATGTGCTTGTTCGCGTAGACATCAGCATGGCCTGCAGCTGCATTAATGGGCATGCAAATCATGCAAACCAGCCAAAAATGTTCGCATAAGCCACTTCGAATAGATACAAAAGACCATAACAGTTTCAGAAAAAGAAGAAATATGCGAAAAGAAGACAAAAACTAGGGTGCCGACACCACTCGGGCACAGATGCCCACCCAACCGCTTCGGTCAGCAGCAAGGGCACGGAACGCCTCCAGATGATCCATATATGGCAGAATTGTCCTTATAAGGAAGGTGCACACGGGTCTGGTCATATAAGGCATATTCCATAGCGCCTCTACTCAGACCGCAATACATCTCTTCTGCCTCATTTGCGCTCAGCAATCGTGCCGTTCTGATCTGTTCGGCACGCTCCATAATCCGTTGGCGAGCATCATCCGTAGTTCTGGATAGCTTGGAGATTAGTTTGTCATTGCCCACGGGGCACGGCTGTTTTTTTGTGCGATTTCACGCCACTTAACAATATGGCCGCCGAAAGTATCGATTGGGCTTCAATGGCAAGAAAATTTGAATTTTCAAATCGTCAGAACACGAGTAGGCCATGGTTTCCCCTGAATATTGGAGACTAGTCAGCCCGGACAGCCCGGGGAACACGCTGATCATCTGCGTCTTGTTTCAAGTTTTCCGCTCGTACCTCATATGACTGCCTTTCCTTCAAGAAACATTTGTTCTGTGTCGTGCGACTTTGGCTTCGTTCTGGAATACTCCTTGTGTCGTCGCTGACAAACTCGGCTCCGAGAAGCCCTTCCCGATTTTTTCCCAGGTAGAGGACTATCCTCTGGTTGTCTTCCCCAAGTGTCATTAGAATACGCGCGTGAACTTCTAAATACGCGCGACGAGTCAGGAGCCTGTTTTCTCTTGATTTGGAAGACAAAATGGTGTGGCCCTTTAGTTGCTGTTGAGTGTAGAAGGCTGCTTCCTGCTGTAAATTGCTTAGTCGGCATGTGGGATATTAAAGAAGAAGACATCAGCCGGCCAAGTGAGCTTGAAATTGTGATATCTACCCTATTGTGCGTTGAACGATTACGAAATGTCTAACTTGAATGTTGTACACGCGAGCACGCCAAGCAGAGGCTGACAATCACTGGCGAGATCAATCTCCAGACTGCCAGGAGTACTTCGAGCAAGTTTGAAGCGGAAAGACAGCTAACTGGGCAGGCCAGGACGCCTTTGTTGAGTCGGGCTCGCTCGTTCGCAGACTGTTAGACAACAACTGGATGGGTTCTGAGATATCTCTTACTTAGACTATCATGATCTCAGACAATACTACAAGACAATATCAAAAGGGAAAACCACTCGAAAAACCATCTCCGCCATTCCAACTCTCTCTCTCCAGAACTCTCTCAGCATAAACTCACCACTCACTCAAAGTATGGACAAGCCCGCGCAAAGCAATAAACACGTGACACGCAGATACCGCGCGACACTAAAACACAGCTAACAGTGCACTACATGTAGGTAGTGACAACAATGCAAAGTCAGATACATGGCGACTGATATCATGCAGATCAGTAGCAGTTCAGTTAGTTGAGGTCGAACCTCAACATACCTCCCCTTCTTTCAAAGCAGGAGGGACTACAGTAGCAGTTTACAGATTGAGCCTATCAGGCTGCTTCTTGGCTCGGTCGGATCGACGCGTTGTGACATCGGTCGCTTCCTGGACCGGCATGGGAACTTCGGTGTCCGCTGAGGCGGGCATAGCGCGGCACGGCTTCACCTGATCAAGATGACGGCGCTGGACGGCACCACCCTCGGTCTCGACGGTGGCTTCATGAGCATTAGCCTCTAACACT